TGGACTATCTGAAAGTCATGATCAAAAAAGAGCCTGGCAAAGAATTGGAAATTGAGAGGATGCCCATCAATTGGGGAATGGCTGAGCAAGTTGTGGTATATGAATGTAATGGAATACTATTGTGCTATAAGAAATGATGAACAGGCTGACTTCAGAAAAACCTGGAAAGACTTATATGGTCTGATGCTGAGTGAAGTGAGCAGAACCAAGAGGACTTTGTACACAATAACAGCCACGTTATGCAATGACTGAACCCTTCTCAGCATTATGAGGATCTAAGACATCTCCAGAGGCCTCAGGATGGTAAATGCTGTCCACATCCAAAGAAAGAACTATGGAAGTCGAATCGCTATCACTTATTTTTACCTTCTGTTGAGTTTTGTTTCATCTTTCTGATGGTTCCTCCTATTGGTTTTAATTTTTACTTACAACTTCACTAATGTGAAAATATATTTAATGGGTATGTAAATGTAAAACCTATATCAGATTGTGCGCCATCTTGGGGAGGGTGGGGGGAGGAAAAGGGAGAAAAATTTTCAACTCAAAAGCATATGGAAAAAAGAAAAAAAGAAAAAAAAAAGACAAAAGAGCCTGGACAGCATCTTTCAAGATATTATCAAGAAAACTGCCCTGATATCCTAGAACCAGAGGGTGAAAGAGTCATTGAAAGAATCCACTGATCAGCTCCTGAAAGAAATCCCAAAATAAATGAAAACTCCAAGGAATATTGTAGCCAAATTCCAGAATTATCAGGTCACAGAGAAAATATTATAAGCAGCGAGAAAGAAACAATTCAAATATTGTGGAGCCACAGTCAGGATTACACAAGATTTAGCAGCTTCTACATTAAAGGATCTTGGGCTTGGAATATGATATTCTGGAATGCAAAGGGGCTTGGATTACAAATCAAGAATCAACTACCCAGCAAAACTGAGCATAATCTTTCAGGGGAAAAGATGGAGATTCAATTGTTCTTTTTCTTTCTCATGGTTTTCCTATTTTGTTCTGAATCTTCTTTCACAACATGACTAATGTGGAAATATGTTTAATATGATTGTACATGTATGACCTATATTAGATTACTTGCCATCTTATGGAGAGAGAAAAAAAATTGGAACTCAGAATCTTATAAAAGTGATTGTTGAAAATTATCTCTACATGTAATTGGAAAAATAAAATACTGTTAAGAACAGAAATGAAGGAAGAAAGAGAGAGAAGGAGAGAGGGAGGAAGGAAGGAAGGAAGGAAGGAAGGAAGGAAGGAAGGAAGGAAGGAAGGAAGGAAGGAAGGAAGGAAGGAAGGAAGGATAAGCTCTCAGAGTGCTCTCAGAAAAACCTGTAAAGATTTACATAACCTGATGCAAAGTGACATGTACTGTGCACAAATTTACAGCAGTGTTGTAAGATGATCAGCTGTGAATGACTTAGCTATTCTCAGCAATAGCTAAGACAGTTCTGAAGGATTTATGATGAAAAATGCTATCCATCCCCAGAGAAAGTACTTACAGACTTACAGTGTCTGAATACAGATTGAAGAATCCTTTTTTTTTTACTTTCTTTATTTTTCTTGAGTTTTTTTGGTCTGTGTTTTCTTTCACAACATGACTAATATGGAAATGTTTTGCATTACTACACATGTATAACCTATATCAAATTGCTTGTCTTCTCAGGGAGGGAGAGTGGGGAGGGAGGAAGGGTGAAAATTTGGAATTTGGAAAAAGTTTTAAAAATGAATGCTGCAGAGGAGATCCAAAAGCTTACTGAATAAAATAATTCCTTAAAAATTAGAATGGAGCAAATGGAAGCTAATGACTCTATAAGAAATCAAGAAATCATAAAACAAAACCAAAAGAATGAAAAAATAGAAGAGAATATGAAATATCTCATTGGAAATATCTCCAATGGAAAATAGATCCAGGAGAGATAATTTAAAAATTATTGGACTATCTGAAAACCATGATCAAAAAAAGAGCCTAGATATCATTTTTCAAAAAATTATCAAGGAAAACTGCCCAGATATTCTAGAACCAGAGATTCTTTCTGAGGTATGCCAATGTAATAAAATACTACCAAAGTTAACTTTCCATTTTAGTGCTATAGCAAATTATCAAAAGGATTATTTTATTGAATTCAGTAAAATAACAAAATTCATTTTGAAAAAAGATCTAAGTATTTTTAAATTATTAATCTAGAAACTGAAAGAACCCACCAGTCACCTCCTGAAAGAAATCCCAAAAGGAAAACTCCCAGGAATATTATAGCCAAATTCCAGAGTTCCCAGGTTAAGCAGAAAATATTGCAAGCAGCCAGAAAGAAACAATTTAAGTATTATGGAAACACAATCAGAATGATACAAGATTTAGCAGATTCTACATTAAGGGATCAGAGGGCTTGAAATATGATATTCCGGAGGCTGAAGGAGCTAGGATTAAAACCAATAATAACCCACCTAGCAAAACTGAGTATAATCAATGAGGGGGGGAAATTGATATTCAGTGACACAGAGGAATTTAATGCATTCTTGAGAAAAAACGAGCTAAGTAGAAAATTTGACTTTTAAATATAAGACTCAAGAAAAGCATGAAAAGGAATGCCGACCTAAAGAAAACATAAGAGAGGGGAAGAACTACATCATGAACATATGGTGTGTGGGCCAGAAGACCAGAATCTCATGAAGGGCTGTACCAATGTAAAGAAACAATTCTTTCTTTCATCAGTTAATGAATCTCATTAGAAGTTTGCCTGATAGAGACAATAATTTCTTTACTATGGGGGAGAATTTTCATGGCTTTGTAAAGAAAAATGAGATGTTGTTGAGGAAGTTCTGATTCACATCCATTATCTGTTTTATGTGGGTACCTCCCTGAACTGATACAGTATATACATTCTTTTTGTGCTTTAGTTTCATGAAAAGCTGTGGCCACAAATACTGATTCCTGATGATGAGCCTCTCTAAAAAGCTAGACAAGTTATTATGTGAGAGATCCAGTAAATCATTGGGCCTAATCCTTTCCAGCCCTTAGGGCTCAGTAGAGCCTTGCCAAAGCTTGCATTGTAATTCCATAGACTTTAAGGTTCAAATTTTGGCCTCAGATTAAAGATAAGGAAATGTAGTTCCTTCCTATTGCTGAAGAGGATGTGAATTTTGTTTTTGTTTTTTAATCTCATTTTGTGAAATATTCTGTTGGTATTTTGATTCCTAAAAATCTTAAATCTATAAACTAAATTGCATGTTACTGTCATTTTTATTCTATTACTATGACACAATCATGAACACCAAATACCTCTCCAGTAATTTAGGTTTCTTTTGTTTCTGTGAAAATTGTTTTGTATAAGTACATGTGTGTTTTGGTAAATTAATTCCCAGATAATTAATGCTGTTATTTTTTTAAAAAAATAAAAATTTAAAAATAAAAACAAATGTCAAAAATTGTTTTTACATGTAATTGGGGAAAAATAAAATACTAAATAATTTTTTTAATTGACTTCATTTCCATGTAATAATAATAAAATTCAGGAAACAACAGTAGAAAGGGAAATCCCATTTCAAATAACAACAAAATGCTTAAAATATTGGGAGAATCGATCACACAAAACACACAAAACATTTGTATAGATTCCATTTAGTAAGTACTCCTTAAAAAAGTAAAGAACAACTTAAATAGCTGAATTGAATATTAAATGTTTATATCTGAGGTATGCCAATGTAATACAATACTAGCAAAGTTAACTTACAGTTTTAGTGCTATAACAAATTATCAAAAGGAATATTTTACTGAATTCAGTAAAATAACAAAATTCATTCTGAAAAAAAGATCTAAGCATTTTTAAATCATTGAAAATAGATTTTAATGAAATGTTCCATTTGTCACAGCTGTGAAAAAGGTGTGGATAGTTTCATTAGCAATTAGAAGAAGCCACAGGTGACAAAATAAATTATTTTGATTTTATTTTTTTTAAAAAAGGTTTTGCTCCAGAACAAGCAATGCATCTAAATAAGGAAAAAAACATACAGAGGGGAATCTTTGCAATAAACATTTCTGATAAAAATCTGACATCCAAAACCTACAAAGAACACATACAAATTTACAGGTTCTAAGACCCATTCTCCAAATGTTAAATTGTAAAAGGATATAAGCAAGCAGTGCTTAGGGGAAAAAAGAAATAAAAATTGTTAATAACCATATGAAAAATCATTCAAATTCTTACATTGAGGGAAGTGAAAATTTTAAAAACTCTTAAGTTAGCATTTTTTGTTCCCTGTCTGTGGTTTCAAATTTGTGGAGAACATCTGGTGTGGAACCTCTCCCCACAGATGTTGGTAATGCTTTGAATAGATTCTATCTTTTTGAGAAATAATATGCAATTAAATAATAGCAGCAATCTACAAAAAAAATGTTCATACTTTTTGACCAAGTAATCCCACTACGGATCCTCTACTCTCAGGAGGTTATTGAGAGTGAAAAAAGATATAACCTGTACAAGAATATGCCTACAAGAACTTTTTTCTAATACAAAAAACTGGAAATTAAATGAATATCTATTATTTGTAGAATGACTGAACAAATTATGGTATATGAGTTTAATGAAACATTATTTCAATGTAAAAAATGAGAAATATGAAAAATATAAATAAATATGGGAAGCCATGAAATGATATGAGTGAAGAAAGCAAAATCATTATATAAATTAAGATAATTATAAGGACAACAACACTTTTAGAATGCATATGGAAAAAATTCATAAAGAGTCTCAAAAACAAACAGGACGATTTTGTTACAGCCTTGTTGAAATTATCTTTTTTTAAAACATCCTGTAAATTACTGAAGGTAATGGACATATATCTTTTTCATAAATAGTTCAAAAATCTTAGTTTAAAAATCTTTGATCTATTACAAGTTCATAAATTTTGAGCCCGTTTAAAAAAAATGGTTTTTTGTTCTCTCTTGAATACATACTGAATTTTGTTTTAAATAATTCCACTTAAATTTTCACTTTCAGGTTCAGAAAAAATCGTTGTAATACCACTTGCTGCATGTCTTATCATCTTCCCAATCATAATCCTTGTGATATTACTGAAAAAAACAGGATATATATGCAGAAAAAAAAGATATTCTCCCAAAGCATTGGTATGTACTTTTATGTCATCTCTTTGTTTTATTCATAGAAGGTTAGATTCTCTTTTCATTCTACCAGCAATGAATTGTAAGATTGTTTGTGCTGCATCATCTCCAGTTTTCCTGATCTATAGCTGGCCACTGGACCCAGATGGAGGAGAAAGTGAGGCTGCTTTGCACAGTCCTCCCTCACTTAAATCCAATTCACTTGTAAGCATGGCATCATCTTTCTGATGTCATGGTTCTGTTGAGGTTTAGAGGTTTAAGGGTGCTGGGAACCCAAAATCACAACACGCAGGCCTTGCCAGAATGAATTTGACCCAAGACTTCTTTCAGCCAAAGACAAGGTTTATTAAAGTCCACCGTATTGGCCAGACTCTTAAGGAATCTGAACATTTGTGAGCCATTGGCTAGATGATAAGAATCTGAGCACCTTAATGGAGACACAATGGACCTTATATACAGAAGGACTGTGGGAGGGATCTAAGGAGGATCTTGATGGGATGACTGGGAGATTGAGAATGAGGTCTCGATAGAGTCAAGGGTGGGAAGTATCCAGGGTTTGGGGAGGCTCAATTAAGGGTAGCAAAGAATTGGGAGGGGGCAGCTAGGTGGCGCAGCGGATAGAGCACCAGCCCTGGAGTCAGGAAGTCCTGAGTTCAAATCTGGCCTCACTAGCTGTGTGACCATAGGCAAGTCATTTAACCCAATTGCCTCACCAAAAAAAAAAAATTGATTGGGAGATTGGGCATAAGGGGTAAGGAAAGGCCAGTTGATATGATTATAGCCTTAGGCAAACACCAGAGATTTGGCTATATGGGAAAGTACAGGGCTTTTCCTTTTAGGGGTTCAGATCCCATCCTCATCAGTTCCTCTTCAAGAATGAAGGACAAACCATACAACCACAACCACATAAGAGTGCTTCTAAAGTCTGCACAATCAAGAGGGGTTTCCAAGAAAGATGCTCATTTTTCCATTTACCACTATACTCCTTTGGATTATTCCATAACAATTTCTTGGATGTTGTTTTCTTAGTGAAATTAAAAGTTTCCCATGTTTTTCCTGCTATCTTTTAAAATAAAATTTTATTGTTATCTTTTTAATGTGATCTACAATTCCCAAAAACTCCTTCGACCCCTCCCAGAGTGCTGTCACTTAGTAACAAAAAAGAAAAAAGAAAAAGAACAATTAAGCCAAAGTAACCAAGATTTTTTTTAAAAAACTGTTATCATATGCAACATATAGCCCCCACCTGTGCAAAGAAGTGCTTCAAATATATCATATGAAACCAAGATTAATCATTATAATTATACAGAATTGTTTCAATTGTTTTGTAGGTATTATTCTTCTATTAACTTTGTAGTCATTGTTACACTTACTTTACTTTTTCAGTTCATATAAATCTTACCATGATTCCCTGTATTCAGTATTCTCATTGGTACTACAGCGTAGTAATATTCCTTGAGAGCAGAGGTTGTCTTACTTTCCTATTTGGATCCCCCAGAACTTACCAGAGTGCTTGCATATGTTGTTGTTCCATCATTTCAGTCATATACAATTCTTTATGACCCCTTTTGGAGTTTTTTTTGGGGGGCAGAGATACTGGAGTGGTTTGCCATTTTCTTTGCTCATTTTACAAATGAGAAAACTGAAGCATACAAGATTAAGTGACTTGCCCAGGGTCACACAGCTAGTTGGATGTCTGAGGCTGGATTTGAAATAAGGTTTTCTTGGCTCCATTGAGCCACCTTCATTTACCATAAATATGTATATAATATGACCAGATCATCTTGAAAGTATTTATCTTAGTATTTTTTTACTTTTTTTTAAACTTTATTTTTAACTCTTGGTATGATCAGAACTTAAACATTCTTATGAGCTCTTATGGCTTTTTTGAGTGAAATTTATGCTACCATTGGAGATTTCTAAAGTAGGATTGTAGTTCTTTTCTGCAGTAGGATTATAGTTCAACTGCTAGACATCTACTTTGTTTCTAGTTCTTTACTAAAAACAGAAGGTACTCTTTTAAGTACCCAGGGATTTTTTTCTTTTTACCACTGACCACTCTCTCCTGCAGTGAAATCTCTAGGTCAAAGGGTGCAGACACTTTATTAACTTTCTTTTCCCATTTTTTTTCTAGAATGGTTAGATTGATTTTCAGGTTCACCAGCAGTTCATTAGTGTGCTCATCTTTCAACAGCCCTTCCAACTATTTCCATCTTTTGTTGTCTGTGCCAATTCTTTTGATTTTCATATTTCTTTTATTATTAGTGATTTGAAACATTCTTTCATATGGCTGTTAATAGTTTCAGTTAATTCTTTTGAAAGTTGTTTGTTGATAACTTTTGACCATTTAGCTATGGGGACTAGCTTTGGGTTTCTATTAGTTACCTGTGTATCTTGGTACCAGACCCTTGTCAGAGATATTTGATAAAAAGATTTTTCCCCATTGGTTGCTTCCATTCTTGTCTTGGTCACATTAATTTTGTTTACATAAAAGGTTTTCAACTTCATGTAATAGAAATTATCTATTTTTTCTTTTATAACCATCTCTATTCTATGTTTGATTCACACTCCTGGTTATAGCAGTGACTACGTACCTGATATGCTTCTCTTCTAATTCATTTTAGGGTATGAGCTTTAATAGTCAATCATATATCCATTTTTAGTTTATTGTGATATACAGTCAAAGTTGTTGATCTAAACCTAATTTCTACCATACTTCTTTCCAGTTTTCCCAGTGTGATACTTTCTTTGACTGCATCAGAGAGATTCTAGATATTGCTACTGTCACTTTAATACCTCAGATAGATTATTGGGAGAAAATAATCGGGGCTGACAGTTTGAAGTGACAGTTAACAAATGGCTTAAACAAAAATTAAGTTTTAAAAAAAAGAAGTGGATTGGTATGAAAATGCTTTTCCCTGTACAGTCCAAGAGAAGATATGTGCATTTATCTGTGATCCATGGGGATCTATGAAAAGTCAATTGAGAGAGTGACTGGAGTACTTCTCCCTATTGAGTCAGGGAAACAATGTGTTTATAGATATATGAAGAATTTGTAATATGTGTCTTTCTTTATTGAGTCAGAGAGGGAGTATGTATTTATCTGTGATCCATGAGAATCTTTGAAGAATTTATGCAACCGAAAGAGATCATGAAAATGGATTTCTTTCTTATGAGAACTGTTTTCATTGCTAATTGAAAAACAAAACCTATGAAGAGAACTTTATGAGGAGTAAGTAAAGAGGTAGCAGTACAGTATATTTGGGGAAAGACTATTTCTTGTATTTATTGAAGAGAAGAGAAAAGAAAGGACTAATCTTGAAGAGAAATATGAAGATAATGTCTTTAAAGACTTTAATCATAAATTTTAGACCAAATGTCCAAAAAAGTCAACTACAGATATTTTTGAAGGTGTGTGGTGACTCTAGCGGTGATGTATTGCATATAGTTACACGTGTCTACATTTTTTATTGCCCTGATTTATTAATAAATTATATTAATAAATTCATAAATTTTAATACTTATATATAATAGTAATTACTTATGAGAAAGGAGGTTTCTCTAATTCATTGAATAATGATACTTAATGAATTAGAGTTAAGGGAACTCAAAGGAACTTGAGCTAATTAATAAGAGATTACAAATTTATTAACAGGAAATAAATTATCCAGTGTACTACTAGATCACTATATAGTTCGGGATAGATCAATTAAATATATAACAAGTCAAATGTCAGGTTAAGATAGAATTATCTAACAATAGTATGATCAGACTCATTTGTATCTGCTACATCTAAGGGTCATCTGAGGCCTGTCTTTTTAATCCTATTATACTAGATAAGGAGTTCTTTCCTAGATATTTTTTAAAAGTTAATCAAATGCTAGGTTATTTAGGGGTTTTTTTATCCCTGATACTTCCCTAGCCAGTCTTTTCCATTTATCTAATTTTTTAAAATTTTAGCCAGTCCCCAATGCTTTTGGTAATTATTGCTTTATATTATAGTTTATGATATATAATATAATATAACATCTGGAAGTACTTCATTCTTCCTTTAGAAAATTTATTTCCCTTGAAATTCTCTATCTTTTGTTCCCCCAAATGAATTTTGCTATTATTTTATCTGACTCTGTAAAATATCCTCTTGGTATTTTGATTGGCATAACACAGAAGTGTCAAACTTGTCACCCTGAATCAATTTAAAATGTAATTGTTGAACAAAATTAAAAAATACAATACAACCTAGATAATATTAATTTGTGGTTTTCTAAATCAAAATACTACAGCAAATTTCCTGTTTCTATTTTAATTTGATACCACTGGTGTAGCACTACATCTATAAATTAATTTCTATAGCATTGCCATTTGAATTACATTGGCACAACACAACTATGAGTACTTACTCTCCCTCTAACAATTTAGGTTGTTCTGTATTTCTTTAAGGAATATTTTACAACTGTATATTCAGATATTAAACATACTTTGGTAGATTAACTGCCAAATATATTATGCATTTTGTAGTTATTTGAATGGAACTTCCTTTTCTATTATTCCCTCTTGCTTTTGTTATTACTATGTAGAAATAGTTTATTTCTGAGGGTTTATTTAGTAACCTGCTACTTTACTGAAGCTAATATCTCTATTGGTTTCTTTCCTACTGTAGGTATTTCTACTTAAAGCATAATGTTATCTGCAAAGGAGGATAATTTTGTCTCTTCTTTTCCTATCTTTATACCTTTAATCTCTCTTATTGCTATTGCTAGCATTTCTAGAACTATGTCAAATAATAACAGGAAAGTGGAGCAGACTTGGTTTATTCCTTTGTTCACTCAGAAAGCTTCTAGTGTTTCCCCATTTCATATAAAACTAGGTGGGGGTTTTTGTTTGTTTGTTTGTTTTAGATACTTTGTAACTTTTCAAAGGTCCTTCTTTGTCTGTTCTTTGCAGGCTTTTTGTCATAAATGAGTAATATTATATGAAAACATTACACAATTTCCAAGAAGCTATTTAAAATGCAGAGATTAAATGATCAGAACTAAGATAATGAGAGACAAGAGAATGAATTCAACAAATATTTATTGCCTACTATGAATTAGACATTGTAGTGGGTGTTATGAGCAAAACAAAGATAAATAACATATGTTCCAAGAGCCATTTCCCAACACATAAGTAATAAAAAGACATGAACAGTTTTTATAATATGAAATGCAAATGATCAGCATTCATAGGGGGAAAAAGTTCTAAACCATTAATAAAAGAAATGCAAATTAAAACAGCCTGAAGGTTTCACCTCACATCAATCAAATTGGCAAAGATAATAAGAAATAAAAAAGTCTCATTTGGAGGGCTATGAAAAAACAGTCACACTGATACACTATTGGGACCTTTAAATTGATACAACTGTTCTGGAAAACAGTTTGGAATTATGTGAGAAAAGCAACTCATATAAGCTGTTTAAGATCAGAACTTGTCTCATTTTTGTGTTTATATGCCCAACACATACCATATTTTGAGCACATGGCAGGTACTTAGCAAAATGCTCATTGATTGATTAGTTGCCAAACTATTGATACTCATTTATCCAGCAATCTCAATATTATATGTACAATACAAACATGTGTATACTAAAATATTATTAGTAGCATTATTTGTAATGGCAAAAATAGAAGCAAATTGAATACCCACTGACTGGAGAATGGCTAAACAGTATTCTTCTTCAAGCTACATTCTCCTCCCTTCCTTATCTTGATCCCTTGGTAAATCAGTTCTATTGTATATAATCAAATCCCTTGCCCCCTTATCCCATCACCAATCAAGCCTTGCCAAACCAAAACTCCTGACATCTGCTACCTTAGATTTTATTCCCATATTACTGAATGAAGCTGGAGAAAATTACAAAATGGTTCTAAATGGATCCACTATGTATTTGTTACATAATCTCAACTGGCCCCTCTGTGTTCCTCATGGAGTTAAAACTTCCAAAATAGTTTTTTATCTTCCTCTTCTAAACCAATTTCTGTTATTTGCTTTATAGATTTTGCCACATCATCTTCTTTTTTGCTGTACCTCTTTCTTAGGAGTAACAACTCATGAGAGAAGTAATGTTGGATAGGTCAGAGTTAAGTGGTAAAAATTATCCTGTGTCTCAAATTATATGACCTAGTCCTACCTCTTGCCTTCCCCATTATCTTTCTATTTCCCAAAGAAATGGGGCCTATGTCCCTTCCAGTATTCTAAGTAACGACTACTGGACAGATTACTATCCATGGAGGTACAACACTGTCTCAGAGAAGATGAGTACCCAATGCACCAACTCCTCACAGATTAAACCGAGAGTGAGACCCATCTCAGACACAAACCTTCTCCCCCATTGGAATACACTTTAGTGGGACTCTCTTCTCTGCCATAGGGTGAGATTCAATCTCTCCTTTTTGCCATCTCTCTTAGTCTCTAACAGTACCTTTTCCTTGACGTGAGAATATGAGAATCACCATCCCTTCACTGTTCACCCATTGTCTTGATAGGAATGCTTCTTCACACATTCAGAACTGAATTCAAATTTGGACTCAGGGTTGTTGTAAGGATCAAATAGCATAATAAGTATAAAGTGTTATAGCACAGTGCCTGGTACATAGTAAACATTATATAAAAGTTAGCTGTTATTATTATCTGCCTCTGTCCCATGCCTTTCCCTCTCACTCTGCAATTCTGTCCCACAAAATTCATTAGCATACCTGTAGGAGGCCAAAATATTTATTCCATATTTCAAGTTCAACTCTTCTAGCACTTCTGTTTCTTTAAGTTCCAGTTACATCTTTATCCCTTTATGTGCTTTCTTAAAGTACGTGATCCCTTCACCACCCTTTTTTGTTCCTTTTTTTTAACTCTGTAAGTCAATCTTTTACTCTTTAAAAAAATAGTCATTACTGTTATTATATTTAAACACAGGGTGATTTACGTCATTACTTTTTTATTTATTTAGTATTTATTCATCTTTCTTACTATAATACCTTTTCTGGGGCTACTCTTTCAACTTGTACTTCATACTCACAGATTGGGTCCCAAAGGAGCTTTCTATGTCCTGGAGTGACCCTATAGCTCATTCACTTCTACTACCATAGCTCATAACTTCTCATTAATGTGCTTCTCGTTAACAATAAGCCAGGAGATTGACACTAAATGACATGGCACCTAAATCCATAAAGGAAAAGTTAACTAAATCATGAAAATATATGGAACGTAAATCAGTAATAGTAGGATTAATATTCTTCTCAGAATTGGATAAATCTTATAGAAAGGTAGATTTAAATATCTCTTATTAAAGGTACACAAATGGCGTAGCAAGAACAGTTGTTAGAAAACATTTTCTTCAAAAAAGTCTTGGCTGCCCTCTCCCACAAATTACGTGCCATTTTCTTAGAGAGTGAGCTCAAATTTAGAGTACAGACACATGTGTCTAGGATGCGGCAAAGGGTGACTAACATGGGGCAAAGGTTGACTCACAACTTCTATTAATGAAAGGCCTTTTTCTCTTTGTAGAGTCCTCACAAAGCTTTGGATTTAGCTCTCTGTACCCCTGGCTATTTAGCTGGGCTCCTAGAGTCTATTTCCCAGCATCTCTCTCTACCATCACTGATCCTTCTCTGCATGAAGCCCTCTGCTCCCTTGGACAACTGTCCTCAGTGTTGTCTTTACCCTGTGGGCTGAATGCATTATCTTCTACTAATTTAGGCATAGAAACGTTAGGTATTGTTATCTATTAATTAGGAAGACAAGACAAATGGCTAAAAAAAAAAGATAATAAACACCTTGGGAGTTCAGAGGAGGAAATGCCACTTAAGGGCTAAGGTAAGTCAGAGAGAGTGGTATTTCATTGCCCCTTGAAGGAAAGGTAGGACTAACATAAAGAGTGGAAGACATTACAAGCAAGAGAAAGAACTAGGAATTTTGAACCAGTGTCTACTGAGGAACTGCCTAGGATTCCTATAAATCTTCTGGAATATGCTTAATATTTTTTTTTAATTTTTTCATCTTTTTTTAAATTAACAGGTAGAACAGAAAAGTATGCAATCTAATATTCTCAGGAGTTTACTATTGTTGATTTTGAAATTTGAATGATGATTGTTGGTGAACTATAAAAAACAAAACTGCAGCATTAATCTCTCCTCCCCTCCTTCTTCTGTTGTCTTTAAGGATTTCTCAACTGTCATACCTGGCCCACTTCAATTGCCTTTTGTGAAAATTACAAGGGCAGACATCATTTGCAAGACCAAGAAGAAAAAGATATTTAATGACGGTGATGAGAAAACTAACAGTGATTGTGAATCAACTCAGAGAATAGAAAATAACTACACCATGAATGGCTTTATCTGTAGATCTCAAAATCAGGACTCCAAATTCAGCTGGAAAGAATATAGTCCCACTGATTCAGACTCAGATGAACCTGAAAGTCTAGAAGTTGACCCTCCTGTGGCTGACACAGATAGTGCCACATCATATCAGTTAAATACTGGTCCAGATAAAAGTAGAGTGCATCGTATCTGCAGCCACCTTTCAGAAGCTAGTACCTTTTCTTCTAGGTCTGAAGACCGTTTTAATTTTAATGTGAATTTAAGCACTGTATTTGTGGGAGATTCTGGAGATAATAAAGCATCAGAAGAAGATGCTGCTGAGATATTATTGCCTGTGCAAGAGATAAAATCAACTTAATGGATTCAGATGGGACTGAATTAAAACCTGTAACTCATTCTATATGCGTAAAGACACCACTTTTCCATATCCCCTCTAAAGAAGACCTATGCTCTGAAAATGCTTCTTCTGATGAAAGTGTTACTTCAGAGTCAGATGTGGACCTAGGGGATGGTTATATAAGAAGATGAATCCTGATAAATTAAACTCATAAACATTAATGAATATAGGGTGAAGGTGATTTCTCTCTCTGTCTCTGTCTGTCCATCTCTCTCTCTCTCTCTCTCTCTCTCTCTCTCTCTCTCTCTCTCTTTCTCTCTTCTCCCTCATTAGTTACATGTGGTCCCAAAGACTCAATGGAAAATGAAGAAAACCAGAGAATGCATACAACTGTGATGATAAAAATCAAATATGCAAACTAAGTGCATAGTGGTGCTGTGAAACTTGGTTTTTAATCTAAGACATTGTTGAAATACCTTTAATAAACCACCTTTACTGGACTTAAAATGTCCCAGTAATATTTCTCAGAATGAAGGATGAGGTGCACTGTTATATATAGGAGTTTCCTGAGCCAGAAGTTAGATGCTTCTAGGAAGCAGAAAATTTTAGACCTAAGAGGGGAGGGGAGGGGCAAGATAAAAAGTTAAGAACTAAAGGGCTAGTCTATATGAGGAACAGATAAAACTAATGAATTGACACTGGCAATCCTAGGTAAAGCCAAGGAGGATAGTGGAAACATAGATACATATTATCTGGAGGAATAGCACATCAATTGTTGGGTGGCTCTCAGTGTTATAGCTTTAGCATTAGAATGACTATATTTGAAATCAGAAGACTTGGGTTTGTCTCAGTAGAATTTAATAAAGGTAAATTGAAGTGCAAAATTCTGAGCCATATTGGTTTATTAACAAGGTGCAAACCTTTTAATAAAGTGGGTCAAATGGATACATCAGTTAGGCCAGTTACCCAGAGGAAGAAGCACAGCTCCTTTTTATAAGCATAAAACAACAGAACTAGGTAGGTAAGGAAAATGATACAGTTGGCCACAGGACTGGCAGCATCATGTGAGGGTAATGCAATTGGTTGGAAATTCAAAATGAGGAGCTAGCAACAACCCCTTCCTTCCCTCCTGTGACTAAGAAATGTTTGTTGTTTTGAGTCCACCTGTAAGGTTAGATATAGTGGACCAGATTTCTTTGGATAACAAACCAGACAGGTAGCCTGGTGGTATAAAGATATTAGACCAGACTGCCTGGTGTTCACCTGCATCCCTCAAGGGGAACAGATTTCTTTGAGGCAGGAATAGAACAATGATCAGCAGGAGAACTGAATTGCCAAACTTAGTTCATAGGCAAAGAGACAAATAGGGCTTGAGGAGTCATACCAAATGAGGCAATAATACAGAATAGAATCAACTACAGAGTAAAATCAATTACAAAATGATATAGAATCAATATAATTTCTTCACTTTGAATCCTTTCTGCCACTTATTACCTCTGTGACTTTGGACAAGTCATTTAGTATTTCTGGGCCTCAGTTTCCTCATATGTAAATTGAAGAGGGTGGATAAGACGACCTGTAAAGTCCCTTTCAGCTCTCTGTTTATGATCCTTTGTGTGCTAGAGCCTCACTACTACTGGAAGGTAAGGAGGGTTTTTGTTTATTTTAATTGGTTTTGTTGATGTCTTTTGTCTCTATATTGCAGTTATTTCTCACCTCTACTCCCTAGATTGAACCATTTCTTGTATAAGAGAAAAACAGTACAAAATATCTGATACAGGATCCTTTTCTAACAATTTATTCAATATTCTGTCCTAGTAGTTTCCCATATCTCTGCAAGGAGAGAGGAGATATGGCTATTAAAGGCTGTCTCTCACTCTATGCCCACTCCTGGATGATGAGGCCAGGGGATGCTGTTTGATAAGCCCAAAGACTGTAGCTGCTAGAATAAGAACTTACTATCTGACAAAAACTGCTGGGAAAAGTGGAAGGCTGGGTGTCAGAAATTAGGTATAAACCAGCCTCTCATTCTATACACCAAAGAGTGACATCACAAACAAGTTAGAAGTGTAGAAAAGAAATTTCAGATAAGTGAATAGGAGAACAGTTCATGAACAAAAAAGAGTTCAATCTCATTTGCACAAAATTTTTTTTTAATTTGCACAAACAAAATAAACATAGTTAGAATTAGAAGGAAAGTAGATAACTAGGGTGGAAATCTTTGCAGTAAGTTTCTTTGATAAAGTCTTAATTCCAATATATACAGTTATTCCTTTCACATTGCGACTTTCCCATCATGATTTCGATACATTGCAGGTCAGCATAAGAAATTAAATAGGAATGGGGGGGGGTTGTGGAAGCCACAGACAATACAGGAAGGCTAGCAGACAACACAGAAAAACTTTAGAAGCACAGAAATGCATAAAATATATGTATAGTATTGTATAATTTCAACATAGTTTATCTTTTAATACCATAATAATTCAGACTTCTTCTCTGGTACAAAGAGAGGGCCAAAAAATTTTATGTGGATTTTCAGATCATGGGGGCACTACACCCCTAATCCCCACAATGTGGAAGGGATAACTGTATAAGGAGTTGAGTGAAAAACTGGCTGGGTTTGTCTGCATTGCCCAGAGAGCCTACCCAGGGAGCTTTGCAGTTCTCTGACTCAAAAGAACTGCTTCTCACTATATTAGTGTAACACTTTTTCTACATCTTATTGAGGGTAATTATGAGTTAAACGAGCTTGTCACTGTTTCATCAGTTTAAGAGTAAAAATAGAAAATTTGCCCAGCAGGTAAGTGATGAGGATCAGAAAGAAAACAGGAGAAACAGCTTTGGCTTCCTATGGTGTAGATTGTTCCTGAAGAGACAAGGGGATCAAGGACTATGGCCCAGACTTGCCCTGGGCACATGGGCTTACCCATCTGCCTCTTTGCTAGGTTTCTGTAGGAATTCCTACATTCTCTTCCATGAATGCTGTATTAGTGAAAGAGTATTTGTATGTTGACTGTGATATATTGATTATTTTTGTATTTGCATTACATCCAGTAACTGTAATGATTATTCTTGCTTTTGACTTATCATTAAGTAAATGCTTTATGTTTAAGGATTAATGGCATCATGTTGACTGATTTTGTATATAATGGGAAGGAGGTCAGTGGGAGCTTATGAGCTATAGTGGTAAGTATACTCCCCTGCAAGAGGGTTACCTCTAGGATATTGAGAGAATGTGATTCATAGTCACATAATGGTGGTCCATCTCTGGGAACCAAAGACCTGTCAATGTTAGGACAAATTTCAGTGAATGAGCCAACCCAGAAAGAGAGAGAGCCATGCCCCATTTATGGGCCAGACTTTCATTGGTTTTTCTGTTACTCATAGTTCAACTCTAGCATTTCTGATTTCAAATTCAATGCTACTTTTACTTAATGTCATTGTAAATTAAGGTATATAATCCAACTATTTCTTTTCTCATCTTCATTGGTACCTTGCTATTTAAAGATAAATATAGTATGGTGGAATAATCACTAGGAGTCAAAATACCTATCTTGGGTCCAAACTCCATCACTTACTAGTCATTTGACTTTGAGCAAATCACTTAACCTCTCAGCCTCCTGCCTTATCTTTAAAATTAGGAAGTAAAATATATGATTTCCTAGGTTTCATCCATTTCTAAAATTATCTGACTCTATAAGTTTCTTAGACTTTCCTTCTTGTGTTCATCAAAGAGAAAAACTAGAGATCCCTAGGGGCATGTTGGAGTCAACTCATAGAGGCTCGTGAGAGCTGATTATTAAATTATCAGGATGAGTACTTCTCCATCATAGATCAACAAATGCTACAACTCAGGGCTTGATATATTGTTTTATTGTCTACACTTAAGAAAGTGATGGAGAAAGTGTTAGTAATGCAGACTAAACTTAAAGGTGTGTCATGCATACATCCTCACCCCACCTCCCCCTCAGAGACCTGGTTGTTAAACATTTATCAGCATACTCCTGGATCCAGCCCACTTCAAGGATATTGTATTGATTGTTTTTAACTGTCAAGGTAACTAAATAAATAACAAATATTTAGTATTTGAATGACATAGTAGGAAAATACGTATCTCTGTCAGTTCCCTAGTCCATCTCCCTGATTCTAGTAAACATGTCTATCATATTATGAAAGATTTCCAGAGAAAGAGATTCCATGGTCTTTCTTGATAATTCATATATCATCACTTTTATTATCTTTTAAAATATATATATATAAAGTGATATAAATTTGATTAAAAACACAAAGTATATTTTAATGCATATGAACATATGAGGTAATTCACAGACAGATTAGATTGTATTATTTCAATGCACCTAAACTTTGCACTAAATATATCTCCCCTAAACCCAGCCCTCCTCCAAATTCCCTATTTCCTACCACTTTTCCAGTCACCTGGGTTTGAAAACTCAGTGTCATCCTTGATGCTTCCTTCTGCTTCCATTTTCGAGCATTTGCCAATTCTTATCAATGGTATCTCTTCAAATTCTCTTCCATAAGTCACTATCTCAACACTCACACAGGCTCTGCCTTAGTACAGGCCTTTATCACCTCTAACCTAGACTACTAGAATTGCCTCCTAATTGTTCTCCCTGTTTCTATTCTGCGTTCTTCAATCCATATTACAATAGTTGCTTCAATATGTATTCAGACACCATTTCTCTGGGGATGGATAGCATTTTTCATCATAAGTCCTTCAGAGTTGTCCTGGATCATTGTATTGCTGAGAATAGCTTTGTCATTCACAGCTGATCATCTTACAATATTGCTATTACTTTGTACAAAGTACATTTGACTTTGCATCAGGTCATGCAAGTCTTTCCAGGTTTTTCTGAGACCATCCTGCTCATCATTTCTTATAGTACAATACTATTCCATAATAATCACACACCATAAGTTGTTCAGCCATTCCCCAATTGATGGGCATCCCCTCAATTTCTAATTCTTTACCCCCAGAAATAAGCCACTATGAATATTTTTATACATATAGGTCCTTTTCCTTTTCTTGTTTTGTTTTATTTTGTCTTTTGGGATACAGACCTAATAGTGGTATTGCTAAGTGAAAGAGTATGCATGGTTTTATATCCCTTTGAGCATAGTTCCAAATTGCTCTATAGACTGGTTGAATCAGTTCACAACTCCACCAACAGTGTATTAATCTCATTTTTCCCACATCCCCTCCAACATTTGTCATTTACCTTTTCTGACCTATTAACTAATCTAATAGATATGAGATAGGACTTCAGAATAGTTTTAACTTGCATTTCTCCAATCAATACTGAGTTAGAGTATTTTTTTTTATATGGCTATAGATAGCATTGATTACTTCACTTGAAATCTGAACATATCTTTTGATCATTTACCAATTGGGGAATGGCTCTTATTTGTATAAATTTGACTTGGCTCTCTATATGTTTGAGACATGAGGCCTTTATCAGAGAAACTTGCTATAAATTTTTTTCACCGTTACAATTGCTAACTGTATTTCCCTC